GGCCTTGAGAATTAGAATAGGATTTTGGGGCCCGTGATACTATATGTATAATAAGAACCCTAAACCCTAAACCCTGAACCTAACAAGGAACCCCCCCCCAAAAAATAGGGCTCAGATTGTAGAGGGTTTCTGTGTTTGTCTCATGTCTTCTCGGTGCCTCGGTGTTGTGGATCATGATTGATAGGTCCGCTGCGTGGGTACAGGCTGTACATAGGCTTTGGGCGGACTCCTTGGAAGGCTCCTTGCGTTTACGACCTTCAAGCCGTGAACCATGTAAACTCTCGTTGCTTCAATCCTGAACCCCCTAGGCATGCTACGCCAACCGTCCGAGGGAGCATCAGCAGGATCGATCCTAGCGCGAAGCGGTCGTCTGAGCGCACGAAACTCGGAGGGTTCACGATGACTTGAATATCGCACCTTCCGAAACCATGATACGAACTGCGGCGCTGTGGGTATAAATCCAAACGGCTTCTGCATACCTTCAATTGTCTGGCTGGAACACAATCGCGACTTGCACTTCAAACCCTTCCCTGCGACGTACTCAGGCGAAACACTGAAGTCAAGGAGGTGGAGTTAACTTTCGCGCACTGCCTCTGCTAGAGCACCTCAAACAGCCTTCGTCGTTTGCTCAGGGTACACACTGCAAAAGTCCAAGCCACATAAGAGAGATGGAAACGATGGCCATCCTGTGATTGTTGGAAACTCTTTGATTTTGAAGGATAGCAGGTGGGCTTTTGATTTGTGGGAAAAAGTGTGCTCGGGCTAACGATGTGTGGCTGACATGAACCATGGGAATGCCACCAACTTCGGAAACCATTTCAACAGAGATGTTTTACCGCATTAGACTACACACATGTACTGCATGGTGTGTAGATGATAACAGCGTATAACACGAAATCATATTTGTATATATATATATATAATCTACTAGAAAAGAGTGTAACACAACACATAACATGATAGGACATAACATCACACAGCATAATATACTGTAATGTAATATAGCGGAGTATAATGTGACAAGGAACCATAACATACAACATGACGTAACAAAACAGAACTAAGCACCTATAGAACAGATTATAACAACGATGACATGATCTAACATAAACACGATAATATGATATCTGGAGCCAATAACTCCCGAGCTTCTGGTAAGTACTAGGCACGCTATACACTCCGAAGCAACGACAACCCCGCAGTCAGTCTTGTGGGAACAACACGTCCCTCCGCACCATCTCCGGGGGCTTAGCCCAACATCTGAGGGCTTAGGGTTTAGGGGTTTAGGGTTTAATGCATATCATATATCAACCATATGGTTCGATGTCAATGTAGATATGTTACAACATAAATATGTACACACACACTACGAATAGTTTTAGCTACTAGACAGCATAACCGATCATAATGAAGTGGAACATAGCATGATAAGATATTAAGTTATGGGATATTCTATTATACCGAGCTAAATGTTTACTAAGTTATGTTGAATTAAACGATACCACATCATATCATGTCATATCATAATGTTACATTGCTTCATGTTACATTGAGTTAAACCATGTTATGTTCGCTTCGAAAGGTTGGAATATAGTCGAACATAAAGTGCTTATGTCACATGAAAAATTTGTACTCTAATGGTACATTATATGCAGTATTATAACATGAAACTGAATGTTAGCATTTTTTGAATTATACCATAGTGTTCGTAGTTGCTGTAACACATTGCAACCCACTCTGCGATACTATATCATTGTATGTTATACTGTTTAATGCACATAACACAACATAACCTAGCATAGCATAACATGCCATAACAAAACAATCTAGAATAGCATTAACGCTGATTTTTCATACTATCTCTATATTGTAATCTTTGTGTATATACACACATTACCTGATGCATGATATCTCATATGTTTTACAGTCTGATTCCATGTTGTATTGCAATCTGCTATATTATGTTACTCGTACATTGAAAATTGTATTGTATTCTGCTGTATTCATTGTCAGGATGTACGATTGGACGGGGCGCAGCAGGAAGAAGTAGATGGCCAGATAGGGCTGCTGCTTGGTCAAGGGGAGATAGATGTCGGCGATGGAGTCCTCACGGAATTCCATGACGTCACGGCTCGTGCAAAGCATCGACCGCAGTTCCATCGGGTCCTCCCTATTTACACCTGGCTATGCATGTCCCTAAACCCTACACCACAAAACCCTACACTTCCTTTATTCGTCTGTGCTCTTCAGTATTTATAAGCCCTTGCCACGTCCCCCCCCCCCCGAAGCTGTCAAGGTCTAGAGGACGAGATGCCGGTGTCTAGTTAGTGGGAGGCCGGCTGCCTAGACTCTACACCCTGGTCCACCTACTTCATATACAAATCCTGCCAGATTCGGAGTGAAGTGGGTCAACCTCCCCAGAGCATTCTGCGTGGAGGGTCGTCGGTTCTTGGGGGGTCGAGCCGAATAAATCACAGCCAAGTCCTAACCGTCTCACCTTAGGGCTCATGGTGTTCGGGGGTTTGTGGTTTAAAGGGTTTTGGGCAACTGACGCTGAAATTCGTGGTCCTGCCTTAAAGGTCCTCACACTTTTGGGAAACTTGAAATTCTGAGGCTCCAGAGACTCGATTCCGGACGGCGCCTGCCTGGACCCTTAGGCCTTAGAGTGACCACCCATAGCCTGCAACCCTTGACCGCCTTAAGCCCTGCACACTGCACTCTACACTACACTGCACTCTACCCTCAATCCTAAACCCGATCGAAACCAGAACCCTAAACCCCAAGACCCTCCTTGCATCTGAAACCCTACAACCCTTACCAGCACGGACTAAGGTGCCGGCCAGCCCCCTACAGGCTCCCAGACCCGAAACACCAAGGCTGCCGGTCCAACGTCGCGAATTGAGTCAGGGTGATCATCGTCACCCCAAGGGAGCTGAAGTTGTCGGACCTTCAGAGTTTAAAGGGCTTTGCGGGGTTTAGGGGTCTTAACTTCAGGGTCTAGCCGTGGGTTAAGGTTCAAGTTGTGTTTTTGTTGCTTTTTCTTCCGGGTTTGGGCGTTGTAAGAGCTTGAAGTTCGTTCGCTCTTGTCGGCTCTTTGCCTCCTCGCCGGAGCCAAACTGTGCAGTGAGCTGAAGGTTGTGCTACTTTTATTATCTGCTGCATCGGCATAAGATGCTCGATATGCTTCAGCTCGCGAGCAGGTCCCATTGGCTCCACCGTAGCGATGTTCGAACTCAGGCGAGGAAGCTTTTTGCCTGGTGCACGTCTCGATTTGTGTGCGGCATCCTGGCAAGGAGGGTTTAGGGTTAAGGATTTCGACTCTCGCTCTCGCGCGAGGCAGGCAAGGTAGAAGGCCCGCAGGGCTTGGAGCATGAGGGTCTCGAGTCTGGCTGGGGTATGGCTCTACCCACAGGCCCCATGGTAGTTCTTTTTTGGGGTTACCATATAGGATTCTATATATGAACCCAAAAAGGAACTACTTTAGGGCCTGTGGGTAAGCCCAAAATCACAGCTAGGGAAACCACAGGGTTTAAAGCAGCAGGGCATCCTCGCCATGGCCCGGAACCCTGAAAAGGAGACAACTTGCACCGTCGCTGCAGGTGGGACTAGGGTTCATGATCGCCGTCACCAAGTAGAACCACTCGAAAAACAGAAAAAGGGCAATAAGGAGGCCAACTTCGGGCGAAGAACAGGACGTGCTGCTCAGAACTCAACACCCAAGACAACATCGCAGCAAATGAACCCCACTGTGCGAAATCCCTCGGTTGTATCAGAAACAGCCCCTGCAGCGAGGGTCGCTTCTGCGAGACAGCAGCCTGAAAAAACCCACCACGCCAGCAAGCAGTGCCCCAAAAGTCACAGCTCCAATCGCGAACTCCACCGACAAGTACCATACCAAATCCGGCCGTGCATCGGATGGCGTCAATGTCAAGTCCGGAGAGTTAGCCAAAACCGCTAAACCTGAGTCTCCAAGCCATCGGGTGCCGAGATGCAGGATTTCTCTCGTCTCCTCGTTGTTCTGCAGAATTTCGTCGTTGCCTCTGTGCAGTCTGTGCAGCGGGGCTTCGAACAACTCGGCCGAGGGCTTCGAGGCGCCGACGCTAAACAAGACGATTGAAGGGTTTCGACTCACACACTCGCACGAAGCTGGCATGGCCAGAGAGGTCCCGAGCTTGAAGGGTTTCAGCACTCACAACTGGGACAAGCCTGGCGAGGTTCCGAGTACAACGACGACAGCTTGAAGGGTTTAGGATTTAAGGTTTAGGGCTTCGGGTTTAGGGTTTAGGGGCCGAAGGAAAATGAAGCACCTGATAATGGTTTTCCTTGCTGCTGGTGCTTACTATTGCGACGATTGTCACTACGACAGAGGCCACGAGCAGGACGCCCAGCTGACAAGAGCTTGTCGGATTGCCTGCTACATGTTGGTCCGAAGGAGTGCTGGGTTTATCTTTCTGGCCCATTGCACATCATTTCTAGATGTTGTTGATGCTCTTGCTCGCACTCAAGTCTCGATTGTGACTTACGCCTCGTGTATTTCGAAAAACCCCAAACCCTGAACTTCCCTGAACCCCTAAATTCTACACCATGCATCGTCGATGTGACCGACTTCAACAAAGCTACTTGCCTCTGGTGTTGGGAACACAGACGGTCTGATCTACTGGAGAGCCACAGGGTCTCCTGTGAGAAAAGGGCTGGAGATTCGAAGATCGTACCCGACCCGACCCGGCCAGAGATATAGTCGTGGTAAACGTGCTTACCCCCTGTTTTATGAGACTTGAAACTATGATAAGGAACCTCAGGAATAATGACCAGGCTGCTGATCAGCTCAAGCGCCAACACGCCAAAAACGTAAAGGACGAGGAACAGCCTCGGGGATCCGCCAGGGTTCCTTATTATAACTCTAGTATAATATACCCCCAAACCCTGAACCGAAAAGAGGGTTTCGGGTTAAGGTTTAGAGGACTTTTAGAGGGCTACTCCTAATCCGAACTCGACGCCCCGGAAAGCACAGAACAACGCCTTTGCAACGAGGTGCTTTGCGGGCCCGGGGTCCTATGAATAGGAATCTACTCGACAGGAATGTTGCGAGGACAAAAGCATGCAATACATGTAACCAGCACTCAACCGCAAAAGCACTGCTGCCACAGTCTGCTTTGCATCTGCTGGCTACGAAGCTCCTGGCGATGTTCTGTCTCTGGCTACCCCTGCTACAACATGGCTGCTGATCGTCCTGGTTCAATCTTCATCAATAGTCATAGCCGCTCGCAGTCAAGGTGCGTATGACTATTCCATACAAGTGTCTGAAATTTTGCGCAGATTTTCAGGGCTCTTTTTGGTGTTTGCAGTTTCCGAGTCTAGTTGGTGTTGGCGAGGTTTCAGGGATGTTTCTTGTCGTGTGCTTTCAACGGCCTCGGGCCGGGCATTTCAGGAGTTCTGGGCTCAGTAGGCTGACTGGCTGGCCGCAGTCACGAGAGCCTTAGCAACCAGAACTTGCGTCATCAACAGAACGAGCAGAAGCACTTCTTCAAGAAACCTTGAATTGTAATGACGCCGAAACCGAAACCAAGCACCTCCAAAGCCCAATTGTAGCCAGAACCACAACACAGCATCATATGCCTCAAATCCGGAAACCCATAAACCTTAAGCCGAACACGCACCAGAAACGATGCCAACTTTTGCAGAGGCGCAGTGCATAGGTGGAGATCATCCTCGGCATGGGGAAAGTGTGAACCATTCGCTTTTCCGTGGCTGGTGTAATGTAAAGGGTTTGAAAAGCGCTCTTCAGCAGTCTTCAATCGGATATTGCACGACATACCATTTGAGCCCCCAACAAAGGGTGAGTGATGCACAGGATTGGGTTTTCCTCTTTTGTTTCGGGCACCTCAACTCCTCTCGCCTGGTTAGGGCTGGGGAACGCCGAACTGGCTGATGCGGCAGGCGGACCTTAAGTTGACATATTCAAGCATACGGTTTCGACTTTAGGGTTTGGGGGTTTAGGGGTTTAGGGGTTTAGGGTACTTTCGAAACCTAAAGGTTTCGATGCTCTCTTACACCTGGGTTCTTGTTAAAGATTTTTAGATTCAGTTGAAAGGATTCACCCCGGTTTCGGGGGTTCGGGCTGCCAGCCTCACAGCATTGCAATCGTCAACAAGGATGTTGCATTGCGCACTCCTGATCATCCTACGCCCGCGGCGCCCGAGCCTCAGTTTATGCACTATTCGTTACCTCATACCAAGAAGAAGGTTCTGGGTATCGTTGGAGTTTGAAAATTTATTCAAGGCCCTCTACGCCATGACATGTGCCTTCTGCACCTAATGGTCTTCGGAAACCGGATACATACGACTCCCACTAGGGGTTTAGAGTAGGGATTGGGTTTAGGGTTTAGGGAGTTTAGAGTTTAATGTTTCAGAGTTCATCCACATTGTGACTTACAACCTTGCTCCTACCAGCTGCTGCGCGGGGCTAAAGCCCTAAACGCTGAACCTTAACTTGGCATATTCAAGCATACGGAGTAGGGTTTAGGGCTTAGGGGTTTATGGTTTAGAGCACTTTCGAAACCCAACGGTTTCGATGCTCTCTTACACCTGGGTTCTTGTTAAGGATTGCTAGATTAAGCTACCAGACTAAGAGCAACTTAAAGCCCTGAACAAGAACCCAGACCTTCGATGTTAAACGGCACTTAACCTTTGCAGGGCAACCCTTAACCCAAACCCGTTTTTTTGAGCAGGGACTGCAATGCACTAACCCTAAAACCCTAAACCCCTAAACCCTAAGCCTACAAACTGGGTCTAGGACTTGCTCATAAAGCTTAGGCTGAGCCCCTAAGCGCTGCAAAAGCCGATAAAGTCCGACCTGGTCTGGAAAGTTCATACTACAATTCCAGGGTTGAGCCAACAGTTTAGTGCAACAACCATCATCAGAATATTACACCTTACACCTCAACCTTTTATTTGTTGGTGGGACTCCCTGATGAAGTCTAAACCCGAAAGCCCCAGAAACCCGCCAGGAAGCGTTTGACAGGAGTTCACTAAGCCGTAGACCAGCCTACCAGGATGTCAAGTGCGGGTTCTTTTCTTTGCTGCCTGCTTGCGACCCTGAACCCAAAACCTAGGAGCCCCTTGGCCCAGAGGCCTACCCATATCGTATATTATATACACTATCCCAAATAGATAGCATAATATGAGATAAAGTCATATGATATGATATAATATCCCACCACAGCCCGCATCTGCAAAGTCTGTGCGGCCGAGGGGAGGCGTCGTGTTCCCCCTGTAAACCCTGCCCGGGGCTCCACGACGGAAGGCAAGTTGCACGATCCGCAGCGCCGGGGTCTACCAGAAAAGTTTTGCCCAAACTCCTTTTCTTCCTGGTCCTCCTTCTTTTGAGGTTTGCGAGCTTGCAGCGCATAGGAGGAGTAGCTCGCAAAACCCCGTGCCCCTCAAAGGACTGAGTCGCTCTTGCAATGAAGGCTCTCGCAAAGATCCTAATGTAGGGGCCTTGATACTTACCTATACTATTTTTTGGGGGGTGGGTCCTTATTATAATTATAGTGTAATAATATCTCCCAAAATCCTATTCTAATTATCAAGGCCCCAACATTAGCCGAGAGAAGTCGGAGGGTTGTGGCCCGCCTCAAGGTCCCAGGTCCAGGGTTCGGGAGCCTGTGAGAACTTACACCAACCCACAGGGAGATACATGCGTGTCTAACAAATACAAACATAGACTGTATGTATATATATATATACATACATACACGCACACGCTCCAACATACAAATACACATCTCAATACATAAATATGCCACAAGCGAAAATCTTCAGCAATTTCCCCCATCCCAACTATTCCCTGCGTTGTGTACGCCGTGTCGCAACATAGACTCACTTGTTAAGCGGATGGCCTTTTCCTACAATTCAGCTTTGTAGTGCATCTGAAACCCTTCAGCCACCAGCATGCTAAGAAGGACCAAACTCTCGCCACCACCCCGGGGGTTCTGAATACAAGTGTTTGTGTTTTGCCGCTTTCGGGGTCCTATGGGGCCGGGGGCCCCTTTTTCCGTGGAACCTCTCCGATTTGGGAGACAGGCAAGCCAGCCTCCAAATGGATCGGATTTGCTTGATCATTCCTGGGCGTCCATAGGATTTCGCCGACTCGGATGGGATGAACTACAAGCCGTGTAGTGGTAGTGGTGGTGGTAGTAGTAGTAGTAGTAGTAGCAGGAGGAGGAGAAGTAATAGTAGTAGTAGTAGTAGTAGTAGTAGTAGTAGTAGTAATAGTAGCAGGAGCAGGAGCAGGAGCAGGAGCAGGAGCAGTAGCAGCATTGTCAGCAGCAGAAGCAGGAACAGGAGCAGCTTAAGCAGCAGAAGTAGCGGCAGCAGCCGCAGTGGCAGCCGTAGCAGTACCGACAGCCGTAGCCCTAGCAGAAGACAGGACGAAGGTCCTTACCATTGGCCGGACTTTCCCCAACAGATCCAACAGCGGCATGGAGAATGAAATCATGAAACTTACAGTCTGCCGATCTCCAGCTGCTTGGTTGCTTCCTGGTCACGGAAGGTACGGACCAAGCGGATGAGGCGCATGGCACGGAGTACCATGACCTAGCAGTCAAACTGAACAGCATGGCCTAGACTTGTCGAGAGTTTTGGCCACCCGAATTACAGCCTGCAACATGACTTAGAGCTTACCTTTGGAATCTGGACCTCTGTATTTTGGCATGCAAGATCAGACAGCAGGCGCAGGTTGGATGGCGAAGTGGACTCTGGCAACAACGCGACCATTGCAACGACTTTCCGCATACCGCGAAGAATAAGTAAACCGACATACCCATTCACGCGTCTAGATCTGCGACGCGTGTGTGTGTTCAACGTTTTTGGCAGAAATTACTGCATGCATGCATAGCTTTCTAACCATTAAACCCCAGCTGACACCGAATCCGATGCCGGCGAACGACGGCCGAATACACCAAGACCCAACTTCCATACACCAAGACGTAGCCAAGGATCAATCAAAAGTTGAATCCTCCCTCAGAATGTGGGCGAGCCAAAGTCAGATTTCAAACTCAACACCTGCCATTCCAACGTGCCAATCCCGGAATGCTCAGCACACCGGGAAGGCTATCGCAGAAGACGCCCCCAGGTCAAGTTCCATGCCAAGACTGATATGATAGTATCACTTCTCGCATGTTGGTTTAGAGAACAATCCATAGCGGTCCGGCGTCAGCGTTGAGTCGTTGGAGGATTCGGGTACAGTAACAGTGGGATGCCGGGCATGTGGTGTTCAAGCCATGGGAGCAAGATTTTGGCGGCAGCCCGAACCCAGATCCATTTAGGCATTGACCTGCGCCATTTACTGCAAATTGCTTATACAAATCTTGGCTCGAGCCCCTCGGCTGCTTTTGCCCACGACCACGTGGAAGAAAGCCTAGTTGCAGTCAAATTTTAAACTTAAGCCCTATAAACCCCACATGAATTCTACGAGAAGGTACCTGCTGGTCCGAGAAGTCATAAGCCAGCGCGTAGATCTGCTCCACATATGCGCTGATCCTGGGGTCGAAGTGTACACCAAGGGCCGCAGTAAAGAGAATAGGGTTTCTTACTGTTTTTTCGCTCTCGCATGGCAGAGATCAGATCAGAGCTCACAGGCGAGGTTCAATGGGATGTTACAATGGTAGCAAGTCTTGGGCTGTTGAATTCGACTCCTTCTGCAACCATCAGATTTCTTAATATTTTTGCCTCCTACATGGCTGAGCGAGTCGCGAAGTAGGGTACAAAGAGCTGACAGGCAAATTCGGGTAGGCGTGTTCTGTATGCCTTCATGCATTTCTTAATATGGTTTGATGGGTTCTGCAAAGGTTTTATGATCATCGCCTCAGTAATCAGAATAGAATAGGTTTGGGGGGCATGCTTAAACGCAGTTCTAGGAGCACTATAAACAAACGGATCTTACTACCGGAAATTCACACCTCTAAACTCGTTGGGGTCCTGTATCCTTGACACACTGGAAAAATTCAGAGTCACAAAAACAACGGGAAGAATAAGTAGCACGATGCTGCGAACATTTCCTTCCACCACCACCCCGGACCACTCTTCCAGTTGAGCTTTCTGTTTTTGGGTGAAGGGAACCGGGATGCTCAAAGCTCTTAGTCTTAAGTAGCCCCATTTCAGCCCAATCTAGAGGCCTTGATAATTAGAATAGGGTTTTGGGGACCAATTTACTATAACTATAATAAGGAACCTCCAAAATATAGTATAGGTACTTCTTAGGCCCCTATTTGCTGAAGGTTGCAGAGCTCGGAACACTGAGTTTCCAGAGAGACACACGAGTATAACGTCGAAGATGAACCAGCCGTCGCGAAGTGCACCCCACCTGCAGGAAGAATATAGAGGAATGCTTCTCAGGGCCTCGAATGCGGATGTAAAATACTGTTTGGGTACTGCCCGGAGATTCGAACGTGATCTACCCCAAAGCTGTGTGTACACCACCCCGATTATCGCTATCTTCCGAAAAGGCCTGATCCCAACCACTCTGAAAAGACTCAACTACTTAAGCCCCAGACTACTTTTTCAAGCCCGCCCCGTCCATCCCTCCAAATCCCTAACCCTAAACCCTAAGTTTCTCTTCGATCCCATCAAGTTTCGCCCTTTGACAAAAACTTTGATGTTATCGCCCAAGGGAAGGGATTGTCCTAAACCCAAAACTCCCTAAACCCTTGTAGCTAAGGACACAGCATACACATGACTTGGCGAGAACTCACTCCGGGTCCCGTTGGGGCTACAGAACACCGTTGTTAGCGACACGGAGGACAAAACACAAGTCTGCAGCTCTTTTCTTCGTTCCATGCCCGGGGTGCTTGCACCTGGCAGCAGTAGGTCCCGGATATGCGAGCTATGTCCTCAGCTCTTAGTCTTGTTCATCTTTGCTAGGGCCTCCTGCTTGCTCTCGTTGAAGAGTCGGCTCAAGAGCAAACCTTGGTCGGATGAGGGGCGCCCGGAAAGGGCTGCACACTGACCGTCCTTCGCTTCGGCGACCAGCATGCCACCGCGCTTTCCACAAAGCATGGAATGCCGGGCGCAGAGTATGGCGTGGCGGATGTCGAATGGCCGAAGCCGTAGATACTCGCAGTGGGACAAGGCCTTGTAGTTCTGCACCTCTTCACTTGACGACTCGTCTGGCTTGTACAAGTCGTCAGGATTACTGTCGAAGAAACCGTCCCCATACTTGGACACATTGTAATCCATAGCATTCCTTAGCAATTTCAAGCCGTAGCTATTTGGACCAAAATTGTTCGCAAAGGGCTGGTCGTGCAAAAACTTGCCATCCTCGGCCGTCTCGAAGCCGACACGGGCGCAGTTCGTCAGGGCTCCGGTGATGCCGGCGCCACCGGCCGCCGCGAGCAGTGGAAGCACCGCTACGGCGAAAGGGAGCACAACCGCACCGGTCACGGCTCCGGAGACGAGGCCCGCCATAAGGCTGACAAAGCCCGGGCCGATTTTCTCTGCCGTCGCTGAGCCAGCACGCAAAGGCTAAAGCATTGGTAGGAGTGAGTGTTTGCAAGGGCCTGATCGGTGACGATCCAAAGGTCTCGGACCAGCTTCATCAACTCCGGTTGAGGAACTTCAGTCTGCGAAAGCATCTCAGACACATTATCCCTGAGGCCTTCCACGACTTCGGCATAATGTCCGGGCTCAGCAATGCTCTTCTGAAATTCGATTGCTCGTGGGTAGTCGTTGATGCCTTCGACCTCCTCCGTGTCGGAGATCTCGAGCAAGTCGCCCGCAAGAGGCTTCGAAGACCGGTGGCCAACCGCCCCCTGGAACAGGAGCGACGCCAAGCAGGCCCCCAGAACGCACCGAGGCAGCACTGGCATGGTGCTGGCTATGAGCAGGAATCCTGCATAGGGAATGATCAAACGATGGACAGGCTGCTGCCACGAGGGCTTGAGCGAAAAAGGCTGGAATCTGTGTCGACCTCGAAGTCTCCGCGTCAGCTGGAGTCCAATATTCTCATGCAGATCAGCAACATTGATCAGCTTCAATGCCCAAATTTAAAGACTAGGCTTGCCACAGTCACGGCAAGCTTCGACACCCCAAGCCTCACCATTCCGACCCTAGAAATCGAGACCCCCAAAACCCAAAATGGTCCCCCAAGTCTGAGTGATCAGATAGGTACATTGGTACTGTAAAGTGGTAAATAAATGCTACCTTTAGAAAACAAATTCCTACAGTAGAAACATGAAGAAAATGCTGAACATCATAGGATCGCTTAGCATTCATATAGGACCATATAGGATTCAAACGAAATGTATAAGACTGCTTGATGTAGTAACGGTCCTGTCTTGGATTAACGGTGTTGGATTTCCAACACTTGACGTGAGAGTACATCGCATGTCATGAATAGTCAGAAAGCCTTAAAGTCTTAAAGCGCTGGGATCATGAAAACGCCCAAAATGCTCGTCACATGATCCCGCTTGGAACCGCGTTTCGGGGTACTCTTTGTAATAGATCCAAAAACGAATAGAGGAGTACAATAATTAAACAGCAACTCGATGTACATGTTAATAAAGACATTTTGTTATTCTAAATATGGAGGCCCGTTTATATCGCTGTTTTGCTGATCCTAAACCTCAAGCTCCGAAGCAAGATCGTATGCACTTTCAGTCTAAGGGCCTGACGTATAAGAAATTATAAGAAGATACATCAAAACACGGTAGCAAACACGACATCACATATCGCACAGTACAACACAGCGGGAGACTTCCTGCCCGCAACAGTTTCAGTTGCACAATGCGTGTTACCCCCACTCCCCTGACCCACCGATGGTAGATCAGTGGGGGGGAGGGGCAACTGTATGAAAAACTAAATAAATAAATAAATATATATATATATACACACATATACTCATGCATGTATGTATGTGTGCACGGTGCCTTAGAGGTAAAACACTGCCGTAAGGCCCGGGGAATTCCGTCTGCCTCTCCGCGATGGCTCTGAGGATGCACTCGATGGTGTAGATGAAGAGGAAGCATGCCTCTGCCTGACCACGGTTTAGGGTTTAGGGCTAAAGTTTAGACTTTAGGGTTCACGCGCTCGCAACTCGGACTCCGCCAGACGAGGTCTCTTGTGTCCAACTCGTACATACTACAAGAACTCTAGCGCATGAGGTTTAGGGTTAAGGGTTTCTCGGATTCAGGGCTTACTTTACGGTGTAAAGGTTGAAACTATGAAAAAAGGTCTAAGGTTTAGGGTTTAGGGGGTTTATAGCGGCTCAGGTTTTGGGTTTGGGCATTGGCGTTGTTGGGGGCCGGTTGCGGTGTTACACCTCGTGGGGGCTTCTGAGGCTGAGAGTTGATGCAGACCCCAACCAATTCATTCGCTTTCCCTTAAAGGCAGCAACATTGGGATTCCTAGTTTGCATCGCTGCCTATGGGGAAGGGGCTTAATAATAGTTGTCTACAGTAATCCCGGGTTCTTCGGGAGGGTTTTTTTCCCACCCGCCCAGCTGACATAGTCGCACCGTAGGGATTTCGTTGCAGCTCGTGCTTGGGCAAGGCGAGCGGCAGTCTCTGTGTTCGAAAAGTCATAGACAGTCACAACCGATACAGTGCCAGAGGATGCAGCCCCGTCGATTCCCCAGGATCGAGCAGCACAAGGAGGACAGACACACCCGTAGTAGCCCGAACGACACCATTTCGGGACGGTTTCGACTCACGCACTCGCAGAAGGCAGGCTGGCATGGCATACGGTGTCCGAGCTTGCTACATGGACATGTCACGCGCAGCAGCTGACAGAGAGCTCGTACGGGAGCAAAGTAACAAAATGAAACAGCAGTACAGGAGTATATAGCCCACATCGTAAATGACGTAAATGACGCAAGATAAAAGAGCGCTCTCGATGCCCTAGGCGCTCGCACATCCAGGGGGTCCACAGGCCGTTGTGCCCTTGTGTCCCGACTGTTTCAAAACAGTCGAGCTGAGTAATAGTCTGCAGAGCCAGCACACTGTCACATTCCTGCACTCTGTTGCGCAGCTCGTTATGTGTGTACACATGTCATACACTGCAAACTCATCTGTAGAGAGCAATCACTGTCGAAGTACTTCTGATCCAATCCACAAGTGGTCACCTGAATTCAACTTACGAACTTCATGTCATGTTGATTGCAGACGTCAGACATGCAGGGCCACAATCCAAATTCACGTTCGTTCCTCGTCTCCAACCCATGCTGAACAAATTCTGGCAACATGCTTTCTCTTGCGCTGTATTCACGACGGCGGGCATCATGATTTCTTGAACGTGCCGCAGTGTGGCAGGGTTTAGGGTTTTGCAAAAGAGAGCAGCCCTAAACCCCAAGTGCTGTGGAAGTGCCTCGGCCCATGCTATCACCACATCGCGTAGTGTAGGGGCCTGAGTAAGTAGTAACTAAACACGATTCCTTTACAGTCCTTATATGAAATAATACAAGGCATTACAGGCCCATAAACCTTTCAACAAGCAAGCCCGTGCCCCATGCAGCCCGACCCGAAACCCACGCAGCCCTAGAAGACTACTACGACGCCACAGACTCATATCATCAACAACAACCCATGGAAACTTGAAAGAGCGCGAAAAAGCGTTGGACTAGCCTGCAGACAGGGCGCTAAATCACACTCCCTGAACGACTACGCAAGCTGACACCGGGCATTAAACCCTAAACCCTAACTGCTTGTCCGAAGTTTGGGGGTACCTTGGTTCGGTGCACCCAGCCTGGCCCGCCCAGTCCAGGTTCTGGTTTTCCATCGACATCTGGCTCTCGACGCCCAACATCGCCTGAGTCTGGTTTTTTGGGATAGACCTCGAATCCAACCATCTGGATGGTTGTTGCGAGGTAGGAGCGTTTGCCGTACTGGACGCTGTGTCCCTGATAAAGTTAAGGTCACGGCCCGAGGAAGTTGTCGGTTCCGGCGGGGTCAGTGATTTGCATAAGCTTCTATATTGACACTCTGACTTCGGCGGTCTTTGTGGCTGGTGTTCAAGAATGAATTTAAGTGATTCGACAAAGGCAATCAGTTGAGTTCAGATTTGGGGCTTTTTTGCAACACTCAATTCTGCACTCTGGATCCTTGTCCCGTCAATTCTTGTCAAAGCATGCCACATCATGCTGCCAAGGCTTGACCGTTTATGCTTTCGCAACTCGGGCACAGCCAGACCAACCATTTGGGGTTTTATGTAGAGGCCTTAATAATCAGAATAGGGTTTTGGGGCCCATTATACTACTGTAATTATAATAAGAACCCCCAATTGTTTGGTAATTATTAGGCTTCTATAGTACTACTTCCACACGAACCGAGCCCTAACGATGAGAGGCGGAATTCGCCACGATCACCAGGGAGATGATGCACTCGAACCAGTAGTTCTTTGTCACCCTGCCCGCCGCTTCATGTCGTTAGGTTTTTGGGGTATATTATACTATAATGGTTTATAAGGAACCCAAAACCCTATTCTAATTCTTAAGGCCGCTACAGTATATACCTCGAAACCTTGAACTCACAACCGCAACAGCCCGCAACTGCGAGGCTCCAAACTCTAAACCCATCTTAGATCGGGCTTTTTAGGGTTTTGACACTCACACTCGGACAAGCCTGGCAATGTCTGCAGCGATACTCGTCCAGCTGAAAGACAAAGTAACACAGACATCAGTTCATTTGACCATGTCCGGCATTGTCAGGTAGGACTTGAGAAACGCCACACACAACTAGCAACCATAGAGACGAGTCCATCTGACAACAGACTCTCTCGTGGTCAACAAATCTAAACCCAAAAGACCCCAGGCCCTAACACAAGAAGAGTCCACTGAAACCAGGTGGAGTTTTTTAGGGTTTATAGGGTTTAGGGTCGGAATCAAACTGGACAACGCTACAGACTCTACGGCTGGAAGGCTTCGGGCTTACGTGAAGTTTAAAGCGTGTCGGAATCCTTAGCGGAAATTCAGAAATCCGAATCCCCCAAAGCAAATACATAGCTGAATCTCTGCTACAAGACAAGGTGCTCCCAATAGCAAGAAGCCCCAGTTATAAGCCCCGCGAGACGTTCCCCCCGGCCTCTTGCACAGCGCGGTCAAGAAGGGCCAAAAACCCTTTTCAATCGGCGGCAAGGCCTTGAATGTCATCGTCTTCGGCCTTGCATGGAGTCACTTGGGTCTAGCTCGCGTGGAATTTCCTGAAAGGAGTCAGCGCCTTTAGGGGCTTTGGGGAGTTCAGGTTTGCGGCTTTACGGTTTTGGGGTCCAGACTTCAAGGACGAGCACCTGTATGTGGGATTTTGGGATTCTCAGGACCCCTTTATTGCATTTCGGAAACCGCCGGCGCTACGTTGGCAACCAGAATCGGTATCCTATCCTGATACAGATTTCTCCTTTCTACACACGAGCCTCCATGGATAGGTTGACAAAACAAGCCTAAAGCCCAAAATCGTATACACCTAAGGCCCATACGCTAGAACTCCAAAGCCTCTTCGGGCTTTTCTGGCAACCAGGGTTTCCTATGATAAAGCTCCCTGTTCAAGGGGGTTTACGATCTCAGGGTCTTGGCAGGAATGCGGCTGACCATTTAAGGTTAGGGTCTAGGGCAAGGCCCCTGAATTTGATTAAAACTTCCGGCTTCTACAGCGCCTTTGTAGGCAGGTCCGGAAAAGTCAAGCTTCAAAGTGCTGCAATGCAGTCAAATTTCTGCAGGAACTAACGTGGATAGATAGTTGAATCCGTCGTTCAATAGTCATAACCAAAATGGAATCGTGACGGCTGTCCACTGGCATTGCCTGAATCATGATTCACGCTGGCCACCAGCTTTGCTAGTGCTAGTGCTTTGGAAGCACTCGGATAGCAATCCCCGAAATCCCCAAGTCCTCAGATTGTTGTAGATCTCCCGATGCACCCAACCTTGCAAACCCGGTCGAAGCCGTATCGGTAACAGGAAAGCAGCAACACCATTCGGTAACAACCTCCTGCGAGAGTGTTCCTATCTGAGGTCAGTCAAAATACTTTCAAGATAACTTATAATTATTTCTGGGCCTTAACAAGTAGAGCGAGCAGAATAGGGATTTGCGGTTAGTTTGGCCTTATCACGTCGAACAGGCAGAATCGTGATTTTGCGGGTGGCCGCGTCTCATGGACCTGATCTATTGGTAGATGATGGAGGTGCTGCAACTCTGCTCATACATGAAGCAGTGAAGGTTGAATAAGCCCTAGACCTTTTTGTGAACCCAGGCTCTTTGCTATCAGCTGGGGAGCAGGCATGACAATTGCACGCCTGTCTGGAGACTTGGGCAGGTATAAGCCCTAAACCTAAACCCTAAACCCTGTAATAAGCTAGCAAAGAGACAGCAAAACTGCTTGAACCTGAATGCCCCACGACTGACCATCTCGGGCCCTCTATGACTTTCGAGGGCATAAGCACTCTGAAATCCTCCTAATGTAGGGGCCTAAGTAATTACCAAAACTATTCTGAGGGGTTCCTGATTATATCTATAGTATAGTCGACCCCAAACCCTATTCGAATTCTGAAGGCCCCTAGATCAACCCTCGTCTGCTGCTTGGGGGCTTCTGGTTCTGCCTCACCTTCTCGAGGAGGTAATGGGTCTTGCCGGTCCTCGGATGTTAAGAGTACCCCCTAAACCCTAAACCCTAAATGCCTCTGAGGATTTCGGGTTCTATGAGCCTTACTGGAAGGGATTCCTGCAGTTGCGGCGAGCGCACTCGGACAATCCAGGGAAAACATTTGGGGGTTTCCGAAAATAGGGGACCCTAATATACTACCCTAAATAGTAGGACCCTTATTATAAGCAGCCCAAGATAAGGTACCCCTTACTTTCGGAAACTCCCATATGGTTCGAGGTTCGCTGAGAAGTGAAACGAAAGCCAGGGGTTTGGGGTTTCGACTCTCACTCTCGCGCAAGCAGGCCAGGCAGGCTCCAAACAAGGTCGCCATGCTAGAGAAAACCACGCAGGCAGCAAAGATGGCACCGGAACCAGTCCAACCCATGAAGACCACCCATACAGCCCGAAGCCCACCGACCCATTCAATCGGTCTCCACTAAGCTCATCAGTGTCGCCTTTTTCAGAAGCAGCTTAAAGTCATCACCCAACTCAACTACATCACAGAGCGCCCCTGATTCACACGATTCTCAGCAAGCTACCTAGTATCTACGAACACAGTGTGCCAGGGCTCAAACAGGTAATGGATGAACAAAATGACGGAGACCGGAAAAGCACGTACAACACTGAGTTAGTGCACCTATTTCAAAACGTCACCTAATGCTCACTGTCCAGCACATGAATTCCTGGATCGACGTACAACGTTCAAAAGGGACGCCTCATGCAGATACATCATCCAAAAGCAAGAGGGAGCTGTGGATTCGAAAACATCCTCATTCCAGCAATCTCATGCAGATTGATTCCACCTATGGTTTGCGATTCAAGGCTTCAGGGCCTTGGTTTTTGAAAGCCTCATGGACGCTTAAATCAGGTGTTCTGAGCAAGGTGGACATAGGCGTCGTGCCCGGCACCGACACGGTCACCCAAGCTTGCTGTCTGATGCTCACTCCGTTTGATAAGGCAGACAGACGGGTAGACAGAAAGATGGATGGATAGATAGATAGATAGGACATATCATACAGGTTATGTATTAGGCAAGCCTCAGGAGACTTATGAAACAAATACTACCACAAGATCATCCCCAGCCCAGCTCAATGTTCAGGTTTGAAGTACAACACCGAAACCCGGTTTCGTATCTCTCTGCCGGCCTAGCGAGCGCCCCAGCAAGAGATATTCAACTCGAGAGCCCCATACCCCTTCAAGCTATGACTGTCTGGTGCTTAGTAGGGAATGGGGGAATGGATCCCTATGGTAGTCCCTTAAGGTCTCTTATAGTAGTCCCTATAACATTCCCCCATTCCCTACGAAGCACCAGACAGATGAAGCCCCAAGCCCTGTGAAGTGCGCACCTAGGCTCTTCTTGTTTTCCTCGATTTGGGACTCAGAACGATGCAGGATGGCCTGCGTTGACTAGGTTCTTCAGATTTGGGCACTCTGGGGGGTCGGGGGTCTGTTGAACTCTCCCCAGCACTGGGCTCTGCTGTAGAGTTTTTTGTTGCTCGCTTTGGATACTTATTGTACTCCACTTGTTCGGGGTTTCCAGGTTGAAGCAAGGATGACATATATAGGGCTGTCCTGAATGGTTGTGTACACAGTAGTATGTTAGTTTTGCTGGTGCTAGCGCTGGCAGGCTGCATTGGGCTCCATGCATGAATTGACCGGGTCGGCAACATCTGTGTAAACTAAACGGGCGTGCAGTATATACGGCCCCAATCATGTACGAGTGTGAAGGGAAGCATGTTCACCAGCAATTGCGGGCCCTGGTTTCGAAAATATGCATGCTCCGGGATCCTATCGACTAATCCAATCCCGTTTTCCGAGATCCCCAGCGGAAAGGCATCTAAACAAAGGCACAAGCAAATGCAATAAGCAGCCAAAGCTGTTGAGGGTTAGGTGAACACGACATCGACCCTACCGTTCAAAGGGACGTGCCTGCACGGCATCCGATGTACTGGACATCACCTGCGGTTGATAAACCAGCTTATTTGATGCTTTAGCTTTAGCGGTTTGAAGAGGGAAAGCAAAGCCCAAGTTGACCCATGCAGCCTCCCAGGTCAGACTTCGCCGGTGCTCGGAAGTTTCTTGTGGCTTAAGCTTCAGGGCCTCAGAGATAGGGACCGGACGGCAGCACCATGTTCGGTGGTGTGGAGGCCTCCTTCAAGCCTTAAAGGTTGGGGATGGGACGAGAGCGGCCCGGACTGCGAACCTTCACAAAGTGGGGTGAGGCAAACATCGGCCCTCTATGAATTTTGACACGACTTCGGGAAATGGCCATGCTTTCTGAAATCTACTTACAACGGGCGTCAGGGCCTCAGCCGCTTCTGCTGCGCAGGCTCCTCCATTCCAGAACGTAGGCGTTGGGGCGAACTAACTTCGGGTCTCGTATTCCGAAACTCGACCACACCCTCAATCCCTGGACCCCAAGACACTAGACTTGAAACCCCGAAACCCTGCACCGGACACCAAAAGCCCTAAGCCTAAACCTCAAATCCTTCAACCTCAACCCCCAACCCCCAAACGCAACCTCTAAACACGGAAACCATTTAAACAACTAAGCCTCCAAACCTCTAAGCTGTTTAGCCCTTGCCGTCCAACCTGGTTCGGCGAATCAGCCGGGATGTTGGTCTCATCGGCCGAGTCAGTTGCTTCACGGACTTCCTCGCCAATCCTTTTAGGACTTTAGGCGTTAATTCTCAAGGAGTTTATAGAGTTTAGGGCTTCAAGCTCGCTGTATACCAAAAATGTTTGCTCAAAGTCTTGCGCGATGTTCTTTGCAAGGCTTTATAATTATATTGGTCTGTAGAGCTTTGTGTGGTTTTCAAAGTCCTCGATATTAGAATCAATCTCGCTGTGTCTGGTCCAATGCCAACATCATATATGGGCTACGTGTAAGTGGCCCGTTTAAGGTTGAAAAACTTACAAGCAGAACCCTTTTGGCTCATTAACGGCTACGAAGATCTTAAGGGTACACTCAGGGGCCTCGACTAGGGGCTCTACAGAGGATATGATTCACTGCTAGCGAATCAATCCTCTAGTGCACAGGACGAGCTTCCGGATCGAAACACAGAAACTAAAAGCAGCCACAAGCCCAAACCCCAAAAGGGGGCCGAAAAAAAAAGACCTAAATCCTAAAGAGACCCTAAACGCTACCCCCTAAAACCCTAAAGCCCTAAAAGCCTAAACCCTAAAACCCTAAAGCCCTAAACCCTAAAGCCCTAAAGCCCTAAAGCCCTAAAACCCTAAATCCCCAAAAACGCCCTAAAGCCCTAAACCCTACAGAAGCCCAGCTTCCCGAGGCTTTGCACCGTCTTCTCCCGATGCTTCTTCTGCACCTGCCCAGACCACCGGGACGGTTTAGGGTTTAGGGTTTAGGGTTTAGGATCCCCTAATTTGGGACCCTAACTACTAAAGGGAACTTTATAGGAACCCCATTGGGGGATCTACTTTTTAGATCCTTCCGGTGGTCTGGGTGTGGGAACCCGAACACCGGGACCTTTTCAGGCTTTTGGGCTTTTAGGG